TCGTATTGCTACTCACATGACTCGAGATTAGGTACCCTTGACTTATATGATTGAAAGAGTATAGATCACTTGTCATAGATGAAATTAGGATTCAGATCGGCTATGTGACAATAAAACTGTGATCGTGGTCGGTCGCCGTGATTAAAAAGTAAAGGTCATCGATCATCGCGATATCGGAAAATCTCCGGACGCTAATCATTACTGCCTTCGATAGGCACTTCACGTAACGTGATGTAAAAATACATCACGATACGTCAAAGTCACGTCTCCCCGTTCCGTTGTTTTACGTGCAAGTTTTTATATAGTATTGTCATGTTAACTTTAACGCTTAGCCAATCAAGTATTAAAATTTTTGCAATTCTTTTCTCAACGATCATACAAAATGGAATACGGGTATTTCCCGTATAACACTATAGTTAGGATTCGAAAAAGTGCCATGTTATGCGAATGCGTGCTATACGAAGGGCAAAGAACTAGTACAAAACATAGGATTAGGTTCCAAAAATTAGCAAAAGTCTTCTGTTCTTTTTCGTAATTAAAAGAAATATGTTTATTAAAGCAATCAATAATTAACTAACAATAACAATGAAAAGTATTGATAAGTACGTTAATATTAATTTTTCTTTACTGCTAAACGTTGTTAAACGATGACGTTTTCTTTTTGGCAAAATATCGTCTTCTGAGCTTTTTGTTGACCTTAATCAACTTTGAACACTTGGTGATGCCACAAGGCTGGTTTTCACTCGGACGAGCCGATTTTTAAATTCATGGTCCGGATTAATTTATTAATTTGTCCGGTTTTGGTAAAAATTGCGAAATTATGATGAAACAAAATAAATTTATAAAAATATTTGCGAATGTTTTAGAAACGATATAGTGCAAAGAAAAGAACAGTGTTTTTGCGGTTTTATAGTTAAATAGGCTCTTTTGGATTTTTCAGAAAATAAGAAAAAGCTATTCAAACAAGAAACCAATAAGGTGTACTCTCTTGCATTGAAATATTTAAATAACTACTATGATATCGAAAATGCATTTTTTATTTCAGTTCAAATATTTAATTTAAAAAGTAATGTTCCAATTATACAAGATTGCTGTGAACTTGATAAATATATAAACAAAGCTTGACTTCAAAGTAAAAGGTGACGATATTTTTAATGAACTTTACACAATAAAGGAAAGAGTTGGAAGCAGAAAAATTAGTTCACAGTTATGGGCATTTATATTTAAAAAAATGGAAATTTTCCAAACGTTCAGAGGATAATTAAATTTATATTTAGCATTTTAACTTCTAATGGGTAAGTTGAAAGATGTTTCTCTTCAATGAATAACTTATGGTGAGATAAAATAAACAGATTAACACCGGAAAATGTTAAAGTTAAACTACTAATTTGCAGTAACATAAAAATTGAATGTAAAAATCTTTACGAAGAAATAATAAAAAATAAAAAACTTTTAGCAGCAGCTAAGAGTGTCTAAAAATACGCTTTTAAGGCGGTAAATAAAAAATAATGTAATACAGTAGAGCGTCGATTATCCGAAAGTCAATCATCCGAAACGTCAATTATCCGAAAGAATTCCAGTCGGCAAATTTAAATTTTCGCCAGTGCTGTGGCGCTGCAATCTTTGGCTATGTCTTGGGCTACTCAAATATTTTACATTTTTGATACTAAATTAACTTCTGAAGTATAAGTTTTTATTGTTTTCATATTTTTCAATATACAGTATTTATTTTGTTCGTACAAAATAAAAAATAATTTTTAACGATACAATAGTCTTCGTTAGGCTTAACATCGACGAAAATTCAACGCGAAGCGACACGCAACGGAGAAAAATGTCAAGATGGGAAAAATTAATATATTTTTTCTTACATAATCGGTTATCCGAAACAGCGATCTTCGAACAACCCAGTCCCCAATTGATTCGGATAATTGATGCTCTACTGTATTTATTTTTGTGTAATTTTTTTCAATTATTTTCATATAGTTTATTATTATATGTAACCATTACTGATTTTAGTTTTCAAATTTCTATATTTATATTATATATTGTATCAGATACAATGTATCTTTTGTAACTTATTATTATTAATGTTGTTATGTGTTATTATTTATTATTCTTACTTTTATGCATTATTTTTGCAATTAATATCGACATTGGACTGTTATTAATTATTTCTGGATATGCCACGTCTGATTATTGCATTACTTTAATAATATATCATGTACATGTTTACCTTCTAATAAAAGAAATATTTATTTTCTACTCACAATAAAAAAACCTAATTTTTATATTTCTAAGTATAACTTGCTGATTTTAAAATGTTCGGTCAGCAATTTTGAAAAGGTGGCAACACTGCCGAACAGACAAACATTTTGATTTTTCTCTACTTTTATTTCATAAAATATCTATTTTCGTTTGCTTGCGTTTGCCTAAGAGATCTTTAAAAGTTTAATCTTTTCATGTAGTAACTTTCAATTTAATCTATAAACACAAAACATTGTGACAGTCTTTCAAGACGTGCGACTAAATATCCAGATGGCACAACGCGCTGATTGGTCTGCTGAATGACGTCAACCTACGAAAATCGGTAATGTTGATCGATTAGACAAAACTTCGTATTGTTGTTGTTGTTATTGTTGTTGTGAGAGTGGGCAGACATTATCCAATAGTTATAGGCATTTCATCTAAAACTTGATAAAAGGCACTTATTTATAATTTCACTAGCTCTTGTGTGTATTGACATTAATTGAAAGTTTAGCAATAATTTTAACATTAAATTACGTGATATCAAAGATTTTAATGCTGAGATATTTTTAAACATCAAGAAGTAACTTTTATCTGTTTTGTATTTTTGTAAGCTTTTTTGTACATTTACTATAATAATAATAATATAATCAAAAACAACAAATGTAAATTGCAAATTAAGTTTTTTTAACATTCTTTATTAGACAATACAGTATTTTTAACCTTACAGAAACTTGTATTTAATGTTTTATATATATTACAACAGAATATGTTAAGTAAAAACGTAGATTAGTTAACAATTTAATATATATTTTCACCTAAACATAATTCATACTTTTTAATGCATAATTGTTAAAACATTTTAAATAATAAGTTATTTTTTTTTACAAATCCATTGGTTTGTTTTTCAAATCAAATCCTGTGGAAACTTAAATATAGACACTGGATATATATTTTCCTATGCAACCAGGTACACAGCACATACAAGGCATCTAGAAATAGNTGTGTGTCCCTATATTTCACTTTTCAGCCAAAACTACAAATCGCACATGAATGGTGTTGGTGTGTGGTAATAGCCCCAAGTATCCATTCGTGCACTATGGTGGTTGCGTCTCAATAGCTATAAGGGTGCGGGAGATATGCGGTTGAAAGTGGTTGACTTCGAAGATTTTTATTTCGATTTTTAAAATGTTCGAACCGTTTTAAATTCGAATTCGAATTTAAATTCGAATTGATTCGATTATAGAACGATTGTAAACGTTCCAGAAAATTGATCAAATTGAAAATAGTTCGTTTGACTGGACGTAAAAATTCTCTAATTAGTCTGGAAACGGGGGACCTAATTCTTGCATTCTGTGCTATAAGGGTGTGGGAGATATGGGGTTGAAAGTGGTTGACTTCGAAGATGTGTAACAATGGAAGTGTTGAGTAACAAAGGAAGTGTTAATATAAAGCGGCATGCAAGATTTACAGGCGGTTTTTGCGTTTTTGCGTGTCCTTGCAGCTAGATTCTAGATTACTTAGAAAAACAGTATTTTATATATATAAAAAAACTATATTACATACAAATAAAAACCCAGCGAAGCGGGTCCTTGCAGCTAGTTTACATATATATCCATAATGGAACTGGATATATGAAATTTCTGTAAATTTGAGAAGTATCGTTTCTTAACACACAGATTTTGAACTGACATTCAAAAGCACAAAATTTCTATTGACAAAAAGAACTGTCAATTCTAACTAAAGCATTAAAACAAAAATTCTGATAAGAGTAATCTATAGAGAATATTCATTATTCAAAATTATTCAATAACTTTTACATTTAAACTTTATAATTTGTTAAGCGAGATTTGTGAAAATTTCTCTTTCAGAGGTATACAAAACTTCGTTAATTTTATTGTTTCATCTAACTATATTAACGCGCGCTCGCGCGCACTCGGGGGGGATCGCCGACCCGCTCATTCGCAGGGTAAATTGTGGCAAACAGGCGATCACTTGACCCGTAGAATAATTTTCGGAGGGCTATATCTCGGGAAGGATCGCGCGTAGGGGTATGGTTGTTCTTTTATTGTTCGCATAGAGGGGGTCGCCAACCCGTCATTCGGAAGGTAAATCTTACCGTCCCAATCGCGTCATACGGATCTATATTTCCACCTATTAAACATTCTATCAATACTTTAAAATAGTATAATTTGTTTATTTACCTTCGCTTGTAAACCTCGATTATAAATGTATCCGCCATTTTTTCAACAAATTTCCCGTGAATCAATGCGCGACGTTCACTGAGTCACAGGATGTTGTAAACGTGCGGCGCAAGGTTAATCAAGGCATATAATAAGGCAAGTCATGACATAATACAGTAGAACCTCGATTATCCGCCCCCCGATCAACCGACCCCTCGGTTACAGTGGCTAGAAAATATAGTGTCGAAAGCGCTTATATTCCTCCATTATAACCATTCGGTCCATACATCGAGGTTATTGACATCAACGTCACAGACAAGGTGGCGTTGATGTCAATCGTAGTGCTACTTTCGCTTTGGTTACGTGATATCCTTTCTTACAAGAACATCGAAAGCGATTAAATTTGTGCTTGTAAAGTGAATAAATCCTTAGGAAATGGCTGAACAGAAACTTTACTGACTTGTGTATTTCTAATTTATAGATATTACTCTACTGTAATTTTTAATTCTTTTATTTTTGTNTATGCAAGTTTGTGTGTGTATTTATTTATTTATTATTTTTTAAGAAAACAATACACGGTAGGTGGCGCTTTGCCTAGCGTATTCTTGTAATTTATAGTCGGCAGAAGTTTAATATTTACTGTAGTTTATTAAGCATATTTTTAAAATTAATTAATAATGAGTGAAGAGAAAGATGCGAAAGATGAGGTAATTAGAATTACTGTTCATACTTTCTATGTTTACGTATTGATCGAATATTTCTTAAAAATCGCTCATACTTCAAAACAATGAAAAGGAAACACATGTATTTTTGGTATGTGCAATTTTAAAATATGGCACCTCTTAGCTATAGTCAAAAGTGTGCTTTGAAAGAATACCTGAATGATAAAATTCTTTAAAAAATGAGGATATACATAGATAATTAATTTGAGAAGCAAGAAGTACAGAGACTATTATAATCTTATAAAATAAAAGTTTAGGAAGATGACATAAAAAATATGTTTTTGATAGTTTAGATAGGTTTTTAATATATACATAAAGATAACATCTGTTTGGATTTTATCAGTCTCCATGTTTAATGACACAAAGAATTTGAAGAGCTTATTTCCAAAGTGATGTATCTCCAGAAAATATAAATTTCCAAAAACTGCAAATTTTAAATAATTGCAAAACCTTAATTTGGTACAGAACTTTATTTTTATATTCTGAATGTAGATTTAACAGTGAAAAAAATTTTGAGGCAGAGGAAATAGTTTTGGTACTTCAAATCATGGACTTAAACCACTTTGAAACAAAATTGCAGCATTTAAAAACAACAAATACATGGTCAAAAACTTGTAATACAGTTGTCCTTCTATAGTCTGACGTTTTTTAATCTGACATTGCTCAGTAGTCCGACGCACCTCCCATCAAGGTACCCGTCTCCGTTACGTGTCTGCTTGCACAGAAGCATGTCACGATGTGAATCTCCCCATCCAATTCTTACTCGATGACACACATTTCGTGTGTTTTATGTAAGCAGTTCTGTTCGAACAGTTGGAGTAGAGAATATTGTAAGTTACTGCTAGCAAAACAATGCGAAATATGTAATTATTTTCGGTAATCCGGACACTTTTGGTAATCTGACACACCTTTGGTCCCATACCTGTCGGATTATCAAGGGACAACTGTATTCAGTCGACCCCCCTATAATTACGGTCCCTATAATTACGATTCCTATAAAACTACGAAAAAATATACGTATTTTGGAAATGTTGAGTCGGATTAGTGTAGAATCGATTAATTTTATGGAAGAAAACCTTTCAATCAGCCGTAGTCCGTAAACTTGACACGTGTCGGGTGTGATTGGAATGACTTGTAAGAAATCGGATTCCTAATAAATTGGAACGTATCTATATCTTATAGGGGGGTCGACTGTATAAAAACAAAAGAAAATATACAAAATAAGATACAAAAAAATTAAAATCACACAAACTTTGTTCATATGACTGAAGATAATAAAAATGATGTTTAAAAAAATTTACTAATTCCAAAAGAAAAATAAAAACCTAATAAGTACATAAAATTATTAATGAAAATAATATTGTAATTGTTCTGTCACAGTACTTATTTAGAATCAACCACTTTCTAAACAAGAAAACACTTTTTGTAAAATGTCATTGCAGTGTGTTCATCACTTATTCCTAGTTTATTTCTTCACATCATCTATCTTTTCCAGCTAAAGTTTATTCTCCAATGGTAACAAATCAACTAATAGACATGACCATTTATTACCTCTTTTTAATATTGTATGTTTGCACATCCCTCATCTATCAGAATAGTGCATTTTGCAACAAACATATTTATAGTTTATTCTGATTACTTTCATTTCAGATACTTTAAAATGAATTTTTGACTTAATGTGTGAATAAATTGCAAGTTTCCAATTACCAAGTTGCAAGAACATATACAGGTATACCTTGACTTACGTCATTTCGAGTTACGTCGTTCCCGATTCTACATCGTTTGTCAAAAAAGTATATGGAAAAATAAAAATCAAGTTTAAGTCATTTTATTCGACTTTATGTCCATCCGCCACAAATATTGAAGTTGTAATATCACTAGAAAAGCGTTTAAAGCACATAAAATCATATTAAAATATATACATTTACAAGTATGTACTGTATTTACAGTACTTGCATTCGTAAATTTAGATTACTTTTTTCTGTACTATATTAAAAACTAAAATTTATTTGTTTGTAAGCTTAAAATAGATCCTTATTAACCATATATTATTAAAAATGCATTAATAAATAAAATACTGAACCGGGAATGGTAATTTATGGTTTATTCTAGTGACAAGTAGATTTGGAGACAAGTAAATTCGAATTACGTTGCCTCTCCTGGAACAAATTACCGACGTAAGGCAAGGTATACCTGTACTGTACTTGTCCTATACACTCAAAAATTTTATTCTAGTCTTCTGGTAAAAGAAGCAGTTCAGTTTTTCTTAACATTTTGTCCACCCTTCCAAAGGCCCTATCTATGGGTAAATAACTGTGACCATGCACCAGATATGTAATCTCAAAAATTACACTATATATATGTGAAAGTTTACTTAGCATTGCAAATGTGTAATTTTTGTTTTGTGCACTGCATCCATCACAAAACAAATTAATTTTCGTCATTTTTGGATTTTCCTTACAAAAATTTCTACAAAAAAGCATGCGACCTCTTTCTAGCATATCGACTGAATACTTTTTAACCTTCTTCAGAAAATGTGCCATTATTAAAGAAAAATTAACAAAACAAACATAATAGTACTTGCACTTCAGAAAGCATTCATTACTGTGACACAGCCACATGACCAAAATACATTTTGTAAGTGGCTGTATGGAAATGTGACAGTTTGGAAATAAATACAAAACAAAAAATGTCACATTTGAAAAGAAAACCAATTTTTTGATATATTTTTTAACAGAAAAAAATGCCCATTTTGGAAAAAAATGTTGTAGCACTATAGAGAAGCATATTATCGCTGTGTCGGTGCCATGAACTAAAAAAATGGGGATATGTCTCTTTGAAAATAAGCTCTTCAGTTGTGGGCTAACAACAGAGAAAAGTAGAACTTCTGTTGATCAAAAGAGAACAGAACTACATCACTATTAATATATGAAGTGTTGTGCACTAAACTTATTTAGTGCCATTTTCTCTTCTCTTTTCCACACTCATGAAGTATTAACCAGCCTAAATCAACATTAAATGCAAGAGAATGGTACTCTATAAATATAAATAAACAGAATGTAACATATAACAATATGTTTTAGAAATTAGAAATAGCACTAGTGAATTCATTGTTATTTCTATATCTTAGCGATAACAGATCTACTTTAGTATGCTCATTAAAGGATCAAACATACTTGATCCTTTAATGAGAAAACTCATTCAATACCCTATTACTAAAGTCTTATTTGAATATGAAAGAAAATTTAGGGAGTGTTTTTTATATGTATATTATATATATAAAATTTAATTTCAAATTATTCCAGAAATATTATAATTATTTTTGAATTATATGAAAAAGAATTTATCAAGAATCATATTGAAGAAAAGATTTGTAAATGAAGTCTTTAATTTTAATCTTGTTTATGATTTTCAATTAAAATAAAATAATATTAAATAAAACTTATTTTTTCAGACAGTGCAAGAATTCAAACTTGAAATTGAAACAGAGTTAAGGTTTGAAGTTGAAGGAAAAAATAGAGTTACTGTTGAAGTAAGATTTATACTTTTTTTTATGTTTATGCTGAATGTATTTATGTACATAAACTTAAAATATAAACTGCTGGCAAAAAGTATTTGAACATGATATAAGTAAATAAAATCATTTAGTTTAAGCAGACAGTGCAAGAATTTAAACTTGAAATTGAAACAGAGTTAAGGTTTGAAGTTGAAGGAAAAAATAGAGTTACTGTTGAAGTAAGATTTATACTTTTTTTTGTATTTATGCTGAATGTATTTATGTACGTAAACTTAAAATATAAACTGCTGGCAAAAAGTATTTGAACATGATATAAGTAAATAAAATCATTTAGTTTAAGTTCATTTTATAAGAATATAAAAATGTAATGTTCAAAACAGAAATATAAAGCTTATTCATTGGGTAATTAAGTGTTTACCACTTTAATTTCAAATGAATTAACCAAACCATTTTTTCAAAAAAGAATTTTTATGTAAAGCAGTATTGGAAAAAAGTTTTTGAACATATAGGAAGTTGGAAAAAATTATTTGAACACTTTTAAATGTACAGATTTGAGAATTCTAGTTTGAATAGAAGAAACCTTTAGCTTTAAAATGTGTGTTTGCATAATTTTCTAAATAAACAGTGATATTTTACCTGTTTTTGCTTAAACAATGGCCACAATCAAAGAATTTATTAATGGTGTGAGAAAACAAACTATAAAGCTGCTACAAGATAGAAATAAACCAGAGAAGATGCACTCTATATTGGTGTGTCGTTAGGAATTGTAAATTACACTTTGATAAAGTAAGAAACAGGAGACAAAAATTCACGTCAGAAATGGTTTGATCTAAAAGCCAATAGGACTTAAGATCACCTATCGAAAAAAATATATTAAAAAAAATGAAAAAATGTCTTCCAAACAATTAAATATGGAATGGAAGAAAAATAAATGTTTGTGACAGAACAGTAAGAAATGGACTGAGTGACAAGGGATTTTCACTTGCAAAGCCAAAACAAAACTCTTTCAAAAAAACAGTCATTTAAAATGGTGAAGATAACACTAAAATTATACCATAGAAGACTGGAAAAAGGTTATTTTTTTTCAAATGAGTCATATATGCATTGGGTGTAGTAATGATAATGCAGGAAATTTTATTTGGAGATGTTTAGATGAGAAATTTAAGGAAGACTGTCTGCTAACTTTTAAATTTTTACTTTATAAAAGTTTTTGTTGTGATTCATAGATGATTCTGTAATACATTAAATTTTCAAATTCAATTCACATGATACTGGGAAAAAATACTGGTTTTCACTAAGTTTGCTGAGAGTTTTAAAAATAGTTTTACAAGATGAGTCAGTCTTGACATATCTGACTCAAGTGAATGAATTCAAAAACTGGTTAACTCATAATGATGACAATATTTATTTGGCTCATTACATCTTGCCAAATTTCATTTAGTGTTAAATACAATGGAATTAAAGCATTCACAAGACATGACAATTACACAAAGCATGAAAAAAGAAGTACATCTTTTCATTTACCTTCTCCTCTCCCTAGTCGCTGCATCAGCCAATGAGACAGTTTCCAAAGATGACAATACTAGATGACATGATGGGATAGTTCTTTGAGTAAAAGGGAGTTAGCTGTAATTTTTTTGAGGGTAGTGTTGCAATATTAACTTATCTGAAATAAAATTACAAATTTATTTTGAAGTATGCAATAAAAGCAGGCATATCCACATATAAATGGAGAATTCTCACATTTCTTTCGAAAAGCAGATGCAAAACTTAACGAGTGCCTACCTGACAGTCTCGTGAATACTATAAAAGAATTGTTTTTGTCAGAAAAATAAAAGGCTGGAATTACAAGGGAGAGTTTCAAAGTTTGGAGGAATACTATTCGATCAGTATATATACTAGGTTGAGCATCGATGTCGACGTCTCCCGCACTCTGAAAAATTTCGAATTGTTGCCCAAATACAAGGGAAGACCAATCAGTATTCATTATTTTACGTTGCTTCTTCTTGTGTTTGTTCTGTGGGGTGTTCGTTGTCCAAACATAAAAATCTTTCGCGAAAGTGTTCATTATCTGATTTGTTTGTTAACCGATCACCCACTGTATTGTATTTACTCACATATAAGACACATATACGTGTATTTACTCACATTTTGCATGCACACACAGTATATATATATATATACTGTGTATGCATGCAAAATGTTTAAAAGATATTTACAAAATTTTTGAAAATGATTCTTTAATTAGGTAATATAAGTGTTTAGAGAAGGGCTTCTTAAATTTTTCCTATTCCTGACCCAATTTTTCTGAGAAAATTTTACATGATCTCCAGTATATAGTATATAAAATAGGTATGCAAATAAAATCACCAATAATAAATCATAAAACAATTATTTCAAAACAGTTCTTTGATATATATATTTTACCATTTATTGCCATTTGTTAAAGACAAAAGCAAATTTGCATGCTAATGAAATTGATATGCTTGTTTATTTTTACATAAGTTAAATCTTGGCTGAATATTTGATACTGTGGGATGCAGGGAATTTTCAATGTTTTCCATAGTTGACCAATATTTTGATTTTATACTTGTTAGTGCTAAAAGTGCCTCTTCACATAAACACATAGTATAAAATTTTACTGTTGTCAAATTTTTTGTGACCCCATTCTTAATATTTGCTTAATTTCACTCAGCATATTAATTAACATTACTTTCCAGTTTTGTAACATAGAGGATCTTCCAAAATGAATGCCACCATTTTTAATTACCATAATTATGTTTATTATCTGGAAAGTATGTAATGTACATTAATTGATAGAGTAACCATCTGAATTTCATTTCTTGTCCACATTAAAATGTCTTGTCATCTATTACCTCCAGAAATAACCATAAATGAAAATGGCAAGTCAACAACAAAAAAAGTGCTTTGTGTTCTGCAGTTTACAAAGTTGGAATCACCCATTGTTGTACAACTTGAGTAATTTGCAGGAGCTGTAGAATTGTGGCTGCTGTGAGATGAGTGACAATGGATATACTGTAGTGCGTTTAGGAAGAATTTAAGTATCAGTTGGGTGTGTGCTGTGTGATATGAGGTACACGTATTGAGAAATTATAATGGGAAATTTGGACAGTTTTCCAATGTTTTAATGTAAATTACAATGTTCTCGGGTAATAATGTAATTACAATAATTTAAAATGTTAGAATTCTTTTTGAAAGCCTCTGAATTTTCTGAGCATATTGTATTTGAAATATTATGTATATGATTAATATGTATATTATTATTATTATTTTTAGCTTAAAACAGGTTTGGCAGAAATATTTGGCACAGAATTAGTTAAAAACAAAAAATATGTATTTACTGCGGGTGCCAAAATAGCTGTATTTACTTGGCATGGCTGCACAATTGAAATATCCTTTTTATTATGATGTAACTAATTTTTAATTTATTTTTAAATATGTTAGATATAGCAGATAAAAACTGAATTGTAGAGAAGCTAAGTTTATTACTAAGTGAGCTTTAGTTTTAAAATTCAGTTGTTTCAAATTATATAATTATTAACTTGTAAATAATATTTTTATTATTGCATTTATTAATTTTGTTAAATTATATTAAAAATTGAAAATTTTATTATACATATGTTTATTGTAACTTATATATCAGGTAGTCTAACCTTTTCACAATAAGAACCATATAATGTCATGTATTTCTGATAGGTACATAACTATATCTTGTATTTGAATGGTATTTTATTATAACCTGTGTGTGTGTATAGAGGAATAGCACCAGAATTTGACCCTTACCCCTAAGTAATAAGGTAAGGGTCCCTAACATATAGGAGCTGCAATAAGGCTCTAGAAGAACTGCAGTAGATATTGTGAAAAATTTCATCATTGCTTTATTGTAAAAGTACCAAATCTTATAATAAAAGGTTGGCATTTGATCATTTCACTGTGGTTATATAATAAAAGTAATTAATTAAAAATATGAACTTGTAAATTATATAGATTTGTAATAATTTCTAAGTATTTGTATAATATTCAATGCACAGCATATCTCAGGTAAACTATCTTATACTTATCTATCTAGTTCTAGTAGATGTAGAAATTTAAAATTTTGGTTATGTTAATGAATCTAAAACCTACACTTTCATACTTTTTGTTGTTGATAACATTCATATCTTTGGCTCCATATCAACTTCATATCTTCAGTTCCATATTAACCCTCTGAACTTTATTTGAATAGTTTTTCTAGGTTTATTATTTTTGTTGTTATGAAAACAATTAAGTTTTTTTGTTTACTTGAGTACAATTGGATCATTTATGTTTCAGTTTGAATGTATGGAGAGGTCTATGCAAGTTTGTGTGTGTATTTATTTATTTATTTAGACTTATTTTATTTTTACCAAAGTCTTTTATATTTAAAACATCAATAGTATTTAGTGTTTTATNTGTTAGCGAACCCTTTGTTAAATATTTCGAATATCACCACTGGATATATAGATACTTCGCTGGGTTGACATCATTCAGCTGACCAATCATAGGGTTGTGCCATCTGGATATTTAGTTGGGTTTCAGGTTCATTTAGAGCTGTCACCACAGCGACACCTGGTTTATAGAAAAGCTAGAATAGGAAGCTAGGTCAAGGTGGAAGAAATATTATACAATAGGTTCTCATTAAAGAAAACCTAGTGAAGGGCATAAAACAACATTGAAAATTTCAATATTGTATTCTAAAATCCATGTGCAAATATGAGACAACACGCATGTTTGTTCGAATAAAAAAAAAAAAACATCGAATGACGGTGTTTGCCTTAAAAATTGTGAAATTTTTTACGCGGATGTCTCCAATTTTTCGAATCGTGTTAGAGTGAAACAGTGTTGTAGGAATGCCACGTTGTACGAGGAATACCTGCACATTTCTACTTCAAAAATTATGTTTTAATCTTTCAATATGCATTCCTCTATTTTTTCCTTCCGTAGTTCCTGGACGTGCACGGAATTTTGGGACAATTTTAATTGGATGAACTTAAAATTCTTCCTGTCAAATTGATCGGGATCGATTCCAACGAAACGACATTGTTGAATTTGAAATGGCTTACTAGCATATAACGTCATATTATGCCGCTTACGTTACGTTACGTGTGTCTGTCTGAAAACATCTTAAGTTTATATTTTCCTACACTTGGAGTCGTAAGCTGATCGAATCCGGACCGTTGGAAAACCCCAGAAGTTTTTCGTGGGAGGTCTGTTCTGGAAAAACGTCGGGCTCATCTGTCACTACCTGGCTGTTCCTTTTGGCTATCACGGTTGCAGCCTACCGTTCTTGGAAACCCGGGACGGGTCGAAAAATCGCCAGAAATTTTTCGGGAGAGGTGGTCTGTTGTCGGGCACCGTCTCTCACCACCCGGCCTTCCCATTGTGGGCCTAGCCGAACCCATAATGGGCTTGCTAAAAGAGACCTTCTTAGTGCCCAAAGAGCGGAAAGAGTTAAGAAAAAACATCCCGGCTGTCCCCATTACGGGCCTGGCCGAACTCACGATAGATATAGAAAAAGACTCTCGTAGTGCCCACATGAAAAAAGTGTTGGAAAAAAAGAACAGTCATGACTTTTTTGAATCAGTAATTAGCATCATGAACGTTTCGAAAAGTTCCTGGAGATTCCTTGACCCGTCCGGATTCGATCCCGGGTCCCCCAGAGCGGTAGGCTGCCACCTTAACCGCTCGGCCATCCGGCCTGCAGTTATGGTGGTAACCTACCGCTCTGGGAAACTCGGGTTCGAATCCCGACAGATCGAAAAAGTCCAGGAATTTTTCTGGTGGTGGTCCATCCGGATATGTCGGGCCCCGTCCCTCACCACCCGCCGCCCCATTGTGGGTCTGGCCGAACCCATAATGGGCTTGCTTAAAGAGGCCCTCTTAGTGCCGACAAGGCAAAGAAAGTTTTTTTTTTTTTTTTAAATTACATGTTTGTAGGAGCATTGAAATATAATATATTACATCTTCCGTTAAAGTTTAAAAATTCAAAATTGCCATTCAGGGACCCGAATATCGAAATTGAAGAAGCCTAATGGACCGGAGAATAGGCAGACACGAATCACATGGAGAAGGACCCGGAAAGCACTTGCTATACTGATGATTTTTGTGTAGAATGCCAAATTTTAAATGAGCTCATTGATTCGTTTTTAATTAAATAGAACCGTAGATTTCGACCGGTTCCTGCTAGTTTTGTTTTTTTTTTTTTAAATTTGATATTTATCTTCTTGTTAACCATAAAATAACTAATTAAAAAAACTGTTCTTAAAAGGAAAAACAAAAATTTATTATTTATCTCAGTCATAAAATTATTGCAATAGCAAAAATAATTTAAATACACGATGTATTTGGTTATTTTATTTATTATTTTTTAAGAAAACAATACACGGTAGGTGGCGCTTTGCCTAGCGTATTCTTGTAATTTGTAGTCGGCAGAAGTTTAATATTTACTGTAGTTTATTAAGCATATTTTTAAAATTAATTAATAATGAGTGAAGAGAAAGATGCGAAAGATGAGGTAATTAGAATTACTGTTCATACTTTCTATGTTTACGTATTGATCGAATATTTCTTAAAAATCGCTCATACTTCAAAACAATGAAAAGGAAACACATGTATTTTTGGTATGTGCAATTTTAAAATATGGCACCTCTTAGCTATAGTCAAAAGTGTGCTTTGAAAGAATACCTGAATGATAAAATTCTTTAAAAAATGAGGATATACATAGATAATTAATTTGAGAAGCAAGAAGTACAGAGACTATTATAATCTTATAAAATAAAAGTTTAGGAAGATGACATCAAAAATATGTTTTTGATAGTTTAGATAGGTTTTTAATATATACATAAAGATAACATCTGTTTGGATTTTATCAGTCTCCATGTTTAATGACACAAAGAATTTGAAGAGCTTATTTCCAAAGTGATGTATCTCCAGAAAATATAAATTTCCAAAAACTGCAAATTTTAAATAATTGCAAAACCTTAATTTGGTACAGAACTTTATTTTTATATTCTGAATGTAGATTTAACAGTGAAAAAAATTTTGAGGCAGAGGAAATAGTTTTGGTACTTCAAATCATGGACTTAAACCACTTTGAAACAAAATTGCAGCATTTAAAAACAACAAATACATGGTCAAAAACTTGTAATACAGTTGTCCTTCTATAGTCTGACGTTTTTTAATCTGACATTGCTCAGTAGTCCGACGCACCTCCCATCAAGGTACCCGTCTCCGTTACGTGTCTGCTTGCACAGAAGCATGTCACGATGTGAATCTCCCCATCCAATTCTTACTCGATGACACACATTTCGTGTGTTTTATGTAAGCAGTTCTGTTCGAACAGTTGGAGTAGAGAATATTGTAAGTTACTGCTAGCAAAACAATGCGAAATATGTAATTATTTTCGGTAATCCGGACACTTTTGGTAATCTGACAC